TTTATTCTTTCGCAGCAGGAAGTGACCATATTTGGAAAAGAAGGTGGAGTCCTAAGTTATCGGAGGATTAAGTCACTTTTTGAAGCGGGCGTTAGAGGAGCTGCAGCGTATGTCACTGACTCTGTGGCTCAACGAGTGTTTTACATGTTTCCATACAAACAAAACGTGATTTGACCGTTGTATTCTCACCTGATCACTTATGTTATTGATTCTTTTGATCACAATAGAAGAACCACGTGTACAGTTTGGAGGATTAGTTCTTGCTCAGGGAATGACTCAGCACATAGGATGTGAACTGCAGCGTGCACCGTCACCTTTAGTGTCAGTGGTTACAAACAAATGCTTTGCACCACCAGCCAACATCCAGCTCCACCTCGAGAGCTCTCAGACGTAGAAGTACCAAAAACTGCAGTTCCCCAAACATCCAGCGGGACTCCAGTAATCCTCAGCTCGACAGCATTTAAAGCCTTTCTATTTCTCCCTTTCATAATATCATATTTAAATTTCAGTAAGACTTAAAGCTTGCTTTGTCAGGGGCGTGGCCTCTTTGACTGACAGGTGGATGGAGACACAGGCGGCGGTAGCTGCTAGCTGTCTGCTAGCTTCACCTCAGCTAACTGGACTCTGAATCAGACCTCTATTTGGGCTGTTGGGCGTTTTTAATGATGTCATGGGACCAATAACATGGCTGCTGGGAGGTCACTGTACTAACAGAGCGTACAACAAGCCTGAGCTCCTCGCCACCCTCTCATCTGAATATGGCCACTCCCTGCCCAGAACAACAACAACATGATGGCGGCTAAAATGCTTTCATACACAACATGCAGCTGCACTGGGACCATGTGCAGGTGAAGGTGCTCTGAGCACAGAGTCAGTAATCCAGCCCTGATGTCAGGAAGGCCTACGTGACTCTCCACATCCTGTGAGGACAGAGCAGGCTACGGTTCGTTGTTAACTGATAACTATTTTTAAAGCAGAGATAAGTTCTGGGCCTTCGTGGAATCGTACGAGCTGCAGTTTGCACACGCTCAGTGCACGCCACCTCACCTCACCTGCAGGGTTGTCACTGCGTCAGTAAAGCCAGAATGAGCAGAAATATGTGGACGCCACACTGGCCGCCTGCTCAGAGTCATGGCGAAATTGCAGCAGTTCCTTTTAAAATGTTCACTCTGCAGTGTGCTCGACTTTGATCTGAACTCCACTGTGATGCAGCAGAACACACACACACACACACACACACACAC